GGGGGGGGGGGAGTATTTTAAATAATCTCTTGTGAATTTTGACTGGTGCTTTTTTTTAAGATTTTTTTTTCAGGCATGACTAATCCTTTGTTTTCTAACAATCCGCACTGGTAGCATCCGGCTGATCTCAAGAGCAGAACTTGGAGACAAGTCGGCGACAAAACTTGGCACGTTATGTCATATCTTATGTCGGTCCGGCCTTAAGCCACCGTCTACCGTTCTTATGTAGCTGTGTGCGACTGTATTCTAGTTCCTTCTGTCTGCGTGGCCGTCATTCTCGTCGGGGTTGCGACTCCTGTTTACCCTTCGGTATTTTCGGGACACCTTGTACGGCGTCGCTAAGGATGTTCAATTAAATCGAGCGTCCCCGGAAGCCGTGAAAACGCCCGGGCTTCTTTGACTCCATGATGGATAAACAGCTGCGCCGACTTGCGTACAGAACAATTTCTATGAAACGACAGTGCGTAAGATTTTCATTCTTTTTCTTTTTTTTTCCTTTCTTCAAATTAGTTGCTACGTCAGAACTTTATTTTTTTTTTTAAATTGATTTTACAATTCCCTATCTCGTCGCTGGCTAAGATTTAGGGGAATTTTCAAGATTCTCCGCGCACACCAGACACAGGCGCTACCTGCGATTATTATCGACGAGTGGAAACGCGCCAGATGTGTCAATAGAAATGTATGTGTTAAATAGAATCGACGCTGTCATGGAAATTTCGTAGATCATTTATCGGTCGACAAATCATTTTATTATTTCCTAATTATTATTTCTCAAAATTTTACTATCGGTGACTTAATGGATTCAAAAAAAAAATGAAAAAAAAAAATTGTTCAATCTCTCGTACACTCACTTATATTTATACTCCTCGGTGTTTTCTATCCCTGAGACCAACTCTGACGTAAGTTAATGACTAATTATATCACCCTGTCATCCACGACCTAGCAGCGTTGCCAACCTGACGCACTATTCAAAATTCACCCTGTACACTCAGACCCGTAAAGTATTCGCTCAAGCAAATTTTCTAATATAACGCTATCCTTTTACGCGGGCTTATCCAAAAAGCTTATCTACATACTTTCCACATGCATTTCCAATTTTCAAAAGTGAAAATCCCCTCGCGCAAATCCTCAATAGTATCAGGGAATTTTTACTTTCAAGCAAATACTAACCGGAGTGAACGTAGCCTCGAGGCCTTAAAGGAAAGTGTTGTTCCCGTATACGAATTTCGGTAAGCTAAATGCTCGAATGTGAACGCGCCTTAAGGGTATACCGTTTCACATAGTCAATGTAGCAAATTCTCATGGAGTCCATTGGGAAAAACAGAGAAAGAAAGTTTCGTCTGATATATTAGCCTGGGGTTAAAATTTTCTCTCTCTCTTTTGGATAATTCCCTGTTAAATTTATATATATAACTATACTTTCTCTCAAACAAGAAAAAGAATACCTAGTAACTTTTCGCTACGCTATTCGGCCCTGAGACTCCCACAGGTTATAGGTTATAAGCGCACTTGATTATAATTGATAATATATTAATCGTATAGAGCAAGTATTATTTTAATGAAAAAAGGAAAATTATCAATCGATTACGTAAGAATTTTTTTTCTCTCTTTCCCACGTGTATCATACATACATATATATACACACCGTGTATAACGACTTTTGATAAATTTTTCTTTTCATATTTCCTATGTAACACGAAAAACCAGTTTTACCTCTTTTACGTTAAATTAACATTCGTCAATGACAATGATAATGAATTAACGCACATACATATTCATTCGAATACCTTATTAACACTTAATCTCGTCATATCCTCGATCCCTACCATCGAATAATATTTTTCTGATAAATCATAGAAAATTATTAAAAATCATTTTTTCTTGTGAAAACGTAATTGTTCGATATATTTTTCAAAATTTTCCTCAACACATTTTTTTCGTTTCCAAAAAATTATTTATTCACTCTTTTTTTTTACATTTTTTACTCTTTCCCTTTTCATCCTTCCAGTACTCTTTGACTAATATCCCGTCGTTTTGTCGATTTTTTCAAAAATCTCCTCGGAGTCAACTTAAAAATTCGTACTATTACGTCTTTTCTCTGCCTGTATCTGCCATAGGAATCGTATTTGTCCAAAGATTCCAGATACCGAGTACCGAAAGAGAATTCTCTGTCTACAGTCAAAAAAGATAACTGACAATCGAGTCTAAGTACACGGAGGAGTCATGAATTAGATTAGCAAAGAGGGAATGAAATATATATATATATATATATATATATATATATATATATATACATACAAGGACTATGATTATATTCGACTAACAAAAATATTTGCTATAGGCATATGACTATAGTAATACTATCCTTTACATGTGTATACTATGTGTAATACTATTAGTACACTGTGGATACTATATCTACCTACCCATAACAAACCCGAAACCCCCAAACGTCACTACGTACGTCAGATCCAGAAAGCGAATTGATCTTTAGATATTTTGAAAACCAAGAGATCATTTTTTAATCTCAAGTCAAAAAGAGAGACGTGAACCCAGCCAATCTGATAATAAATATCAATACGCTCGAATTAAAACCCGTGAATAATTCCAATCTCGAGATAGAAGTATTTAAAATAAAAAAAAAGAAACCCCTTAACGTGAACTTTGTGTAAAATCAATAGCGCATCAATTCTCTCCCCTTGTCTTAGCGGCTTTGTAAGTTTTGATAAGAAAATTAATAGCCCCCAGTCTATGCTCTAATATTTTTCTTTTTTTTATCTCTACTCGCTATCTTCGTATGTAGATATTTTTTTTTTTCGTAATTGAGTAAAAATTTTTCAATTTTATCACTGACTGCACCTTGCCACCTGTTGCTTCTTAATATTGGATCGTCCAGCTCACCTGAAACGCTCGGTACAGATACTGACGTTATCTCGATTCCTTGGCGAGACGTAAATATTTCTTTAATAAAATCTATTGGTTCTCGAGCGATAATCGAGCCTTTTATTTTCCAGCCTGAAATCGATCGTTCTTTTACGATAACGCAATTGGCGGGGGGAGTAGGTGGAATTGAAAGTAAGGATAAGTTGGTTAATTTTTAAGAAAAAGAAAATAAATAAAAGTGACAGGTCGATAACAAAAAAAAATAAAATGCAATAGTGGCGTTAAGTTTTATATCAAAATATATTTGTGCATAGACAAGAAGACAACCGTGACACGGGTAATCTCGTACCCAGCATACATCACTTCGTATACACTCATTTTTTATATCCCATATACACAAAACTATTTACATAACCACGTAATTAATATTCATACATGCGTAACAAGAGGATTGGCGCGGTTGAAAATTTTAAAAAAAAAAAAAAAAAATTGTACCTCGAAATTTTCTATGAAAATTTTCAAAGATACAAATACAAAGTACAGAAGTCGGATTGTGGAGGAAATTTTTTTGATCGAATTTTTTTTTTTTTTCACAAAAATCATGTACCTGTCCTTTACGTTATTACAGACACACACACTCTCTCTCTCTCGCTCCTATGAATGACGCAAGCTCACAATAAACAATCAACAATCAATTAATCGAATAAACAATGAAGCCCGCTTCACGCGTTTACGGTAACTCTTTTTTTCTTCAACTAGACTTCGGAGCTGGAACCGGCGCCGGTTCGGCCTGAACTCGTTGTCTCCATTAATAATCTAAATCTTTAAAATTAATTCTTTCGCTCTCTCAGGCTCACTCACTCTTTTATACCCTCATTCTCGCTCGTTCTTATGTTTATGTATGTATATATATATATATATCATCTCCATTCGCACTTTTTCGCTTTAAACAAAATATATTAACTTTACGTACATCTTCGATTATAATAAAATTAATAATAGCTATAATACAAGAGTGTGTTGGTATATTTTTCATAGTTTTCAGAAAGTTTAAACTGTTTTACGAGAATGGGTGGGTGGGTGATAGGGGGAGGAAGTGATGATATGGGGAATTTGTATCTAGTTAAAATTGCGTGTACACTGAACGAAGGTAGACTTTGTGTACTTGTGATTGGTAACACACAATAGTGCAACAAGGGGAGCAAAGAAATTGATATTTCGACTTTTTTTTTTTTTTGGTAATATAAAAAATTAATTTCCATTTTCGTCGGTAAGGAAGATTACGAATTTGTTTCTTTAAGTGTCCGATAATCCCGGGTGGCGGGTAAATTTGAATGTTGCGGGAGAAGGAAAAAATATTGCGACAAAAAGATAGAGAGAGAGAGGAAACGGTGATTTTTTTTCTTTTCAGCGAACGAGGTGACGAGTTACGAAGTTGTGTAATTTCTTTTTTGTATTAAAAATTCTTCGCATCCTTAATGTCACCCAGTCTTATAGGTCCGTGGTAAAAAGTATATAGATACCAGAGAACGTATACGGGAAGAGGAGTCGTGAGGCCATTTTTTTTTTTCTATACTCTTGTTCATACATCCGGTTCAGCGGATCTCCTCCATTTGTACGTTTTCGTGTGTCCCTTAACCGATTTAACAAAAAAAATGGACTTATGCTTAAAACTCCCTTCCGTATGTAAAAAAAAAAGAAACAAAAAAGTTGTGCTTCGTGCATACGACGCATCGAACAAAGAGGACGAAATAAAGACGAAAAGAGGCAGAGATAAAGTTTGTCGTGAAATAAGAAGGAGAGAAGGATAAAAAGTGATTAAAATACACGAGCGTCCCAGTATTGCACTCTTGTCGCCATTGTCATGCCATCGTATCGCAAGAGAAGGCACTTAATTTTCCTTTTTTTTTTTTTCTAAAGAAATAACTTTGTTTAACGTTAAAAAATCGCACTTGAACCGAGTCCCTTGGCTCTCCTCGAACGATCTTCCTATGACGATCTGACGTCGATTGTGAATCCTTCATTAAGTCTCTCTCCGTTAATCGCCATCCTTCTCACTTCCTTCCCAAGAGATTCGTATTCTCTCTCTCTCTCGATCTCACCACTCCGAGACTCCTTTCTCCTTCGCAGCCAAGTTCGCACTCGTCGCACGGAGCCCACAGCCAATAGGATCCTCGGAAGTGAGCAAAGTATCGAGAGCGTGAACGCGGTAGACAAAGTCGGGTAGATCCCGTAGGTAAGAACGACAAAGGAGCTCAGAGTGGAGGAAAAAAAGCGGAAAACCGAACGGATCTCACCGAGAGGATAATCCTAGTGATAACGTTAAAGGGGACTTGCTCCAGCAAGACTGTCAGTGACGTCTAGTGATAATAATGAGGTATACGCCTGCTACATGGGCCCAACCGCATGTTGCTGGAACTGATCGAGGTGCCTTGAGATTTCTCTATGAAGTTGTTCCGGTACTACCCCGACGCTGCTGAAGAGCGACCTCAGTACGTTGAGCTCCTCGGTGAGGAGTTCGATTCTCTTCTTGAGTAAGTCATTGTCCTTGACAAGCAGCTTAACCTTCTCCTCGGTCTCGCGGGAGCGAACCTTCGCCTTCTCGCGGCTCTTCCTGACGGCGATGTTGTTGCGTTCGCGTCGCCTCCTGTACTCGTCGCTGGCCTTGTCGATGGCCTTGGTCTGCTTGCGCGCGACGGCCGCAGCAGCCGCTGCCGCGTGATGCTGATGCGCCATTACGGGTTTCATGGGTCCGCGTTGCTGCTGATGAACGGGGTGGCCACCGGGTACAGTCGAGGGCGTCAGGGTGGTGAAGGTGGGTCCGCCATTTGTGAAGGAGCCGTTAGCCGGACTGTAACCAGCCGGTGGATACTGAGGACAGTGACGTCGATAATCCGCCGGATCAAGAGGCTCCTCCTTGATACTCGGTGATTCCGAGCTGGAGCTGTTGCTGTCGCTGCAGCTATTGCTACCCTGATGATAACTCGCGCCGCTGTGAACAGGCTGTGGCATGTACGCCAAGGTCGTACGAGGGTAACCCGGCGTCCTGTTGTGCTTGACGGCCCCATTGCCACCCCCTAGCATATCCAGGAGGCCGTCGTTGAAGTGCGAGTCGTCTATCAGATGCTGAAGATCCAGAGATATCTCCGGTGTGTTGAGATCCGTCAGTTCCCCGGCCGCCGCGCAGTGCTCGGCGTACTGTTGATGGAGAGTCGCCTTGCTGGCCGATACTTTGCTCACGACAGTGCTGCTCGTTTGCTGGTTATGATTAACCTGGAGATTCGAGTTGTTGTTGTTAGCCGCCAGAACCTGTGGGGACTTTTTCAAGTCCGCCGGTCCCTGCACTTGGGCCTGGTGGGCCGCCGAGTCATACATGACTGGTGACTCCATCACTCACTTACACATTACACTAAACAAACTACTGGTCCCTCTTCTCTCCTTTTCTTCTTCCCGGACTTCCTCACTATCTTTCTCTCTCTTTCTCCTTCTTACAACTCCTTTTCTTTAATGCAACTCCTTGTTTACCGTCTCCTACCTACTGTCCCGTACAACGATCAGGCTTCCTCTCTTCTCTCTTACTACCCGACGTACCAACGACGTCGCTCACTGTAAGTGCACCCGAATTACTCGGTCTCTTCAGAATTACAATAAAAAACCTCGTATCCACTGTACGCCGCCTTCTCACACCGGTGTACACCACGTATACAACACGGCGTCACTTTTCCCGAAGAAGTCACTCTTAACAACGAAGTCAGCCGATAACGACGAATCAATCCGCGACGAATAAGAAAGAAAACAGTAAAACCGGTTGTAGCTGCGAAAACAGTACGCGGCAATTCAACAACACGATTCACCACTCTCTCAAATCCTATGAATTTTTCTATCGATAAACTCCTTTACAAATTCTCTCCCCCCTTTTTTTTTGGTTTTCCTCCTATCGATCTTCGTTTCGATATATCGCGCTCTCCTGTGTACTCTATCTTCTCTCTCTCTCTCTGTCTCTTCTCTTACGTAGCGTTCAATCTTCACGAGATACGTATTAAACGTGTCTGTTTTCGACGCGATACCAAAACGTGTCTAACCAGAGAGCGAGGCACGGGCAATGCTCACCGCATGGGAGTTGGCGCGCGACTGAGCGCCTTGGCGACATGTCGCAAGCTTTCAATACGGCGTGCGCCAACTCTGCTCTCTGCGCGACTTCGCATGCGCGTCGTTACTCGCCACCATGTCCAAGTTCTTCTGGTGAGGTCGGCGAGGTACCTACGGTTGCCCACAGGCGTCGGAGCGTAGCGAGTACGATGCCGTTTGATGCCGTTCTACAAGCTTGTATACATATGCCACAATAGACCCATAGGGCAACCCATTGGTTAAAGAGTAATGGAGACGAGATGGGTTATTGAGAACAGTGTCTGTAGTCCTGTGCTATAAATAAATATATTCGCTTGACACTTCTTACGATAATCGACATTGTACAGAAGGTCTCGTAGATATGGATATAGATAATAAAGAAGTATCACCGAGCGCGTGTCTCCTCTCGGTTGTACGAGGTAAAAATGCTCGATGAATATATTTATAAGCTATAATGGCTCGAGTCAGTGATTTTACGACGGGTAGAAATTTGCAATCTCTAATGTATTCGTAATGCGCAACGTGACGGGGAAACACCTGTGGGCGATTAAAAAATTTTGGTTAAACAATGTATAGATATATCGATACAGCGTGTCGGGCTATTTTTATCAATAATTTATACGGTTCATTGGACAGCCTGCAGTCGGGGACTGTTTAATGCTTATCGAGGAAAAAGTGTAATTGGCGGAAAGTGTGTCGTGTTGAAAAATTAGACGCTTCTTACGCGAGATTGCGCAATCGATTGTCATGATTCTGGGACCTACAGGCATTATACTGGTATTACTTGAATTCGATGTGTAGCAGAAGTGTGCGATGTATGTATATCAATGGTCATGCATGTACATTTCTTTTGAAGATGATATGACGTCTCTTTTGGGTATTTGGGACTTATTTTAATATTGTAGAGGGTTGATCGAGGCAGGTTAGAATATGATGGGCGTGTCTTTTAGTGTCGACCAATGAGAACTTACCGCCCCGATTGCGAGGGAACGCCCGTCAACCCCTGCTAGTGTTTTATTGGGCTGCCGCGAGTGGCGCTGTGAGTCGGTTGAGGAGAGACATGTCGTTGGGAGAGACGCAGGGTTCGCCGACCTATGGTGCGTGTTTCGGCTGCTACCTGCTGTACTGTATGGATCAGGCGGGTTGTCATTTTTTTTGTCTTATTCTTTATTGTACGCGTAGAGGCTCAAGCTGATTGTATGTGTATATCGAACTAAGCTTGATTTGGACAGTTGCTTTCGTTTTGGGATTCTTGTTACGGATTCACGGACTCGGTAATGCCTGTACGGGAGTCATTGACATATGTATACAGCGTGACGTCTGTCGTTGCCGAATATATTTCGGCTATGCTGCATTAATCGAGGACTGCAGTTAAGTAATATCTTTTCTTTCACGCAACAATGAGTCCCGAATTATGAGTGTCGAGTAATTCATAATCAGTGTGACTTTTGACTTATATTTGAGATAAGCTCGCTCTCTGCTTATTCGGACGCCATATTGGTATATTTTGTGAGAGTAATGGCTTATGGATTTAAAATGTTCCCTAGTTAATTAAGCATTTGTCAATGGGATTTCTCGAATGGTTGCGTGAAATGTAAGGGACGAGAGAGGAGGCAGGTATCAACGAGATCGTAATGCTTTATCAATGCAAACATTAAAGCTGATGAATTATTTTGCTGTCCAGATCTTTTGTTCGATTAGATTGATATCTTACTTGGGCTGAATTTCGATCGTCGTACAATCTGTCTCGGCTTATTTACGTTTTCGTTCTGTATCGTTATCCTTCTTTGTCAATTTCGTGCGTCGGAACGTCCCGAGCACTTTCCACTTTGTGATTCATATGCCAAGCGCGTGACTCGTAAGGTAAAAATAAAAAGTCCGGTTTTCAGACGCTCGGAATTCCCTGGGAGAATATTATCATGGGTATTGGGTTAATTGTGGTTTAGGATGTAACGAGAGTCACGTGTGATTAATGATTTAAAACTAAACATACTGACAATTTTTAATAAACGTATTTTTGGCTTTGAAAGGGCCAAACGATCCGTCGACGGATTTTCTTGTTCGGGAAAGTAAAACTTTTAATGAGCCTTGTGTTGGGTGGTTCTTTTTTATCGACTGTACAGGTGCTTTGGTGTTTCCTGTATTACCGACTGGCGGTTATTTATTTGAAACTTGTTGTCGAGGGCGTGCCAAGTCCATTCTCGTGGACACAGTTACTTTATACCGAACCTTCAGTCAACTATGTCATTGTTGCTATTATCTCTTATTGGTTATAGATAATATAGTTTACTTTAATTCACAATACCGAGTAATCGAGCTAGCAAATGGTCTTGCAGTTTGAATCCTGAATTTCAGTCTTTGATTTCCAGAAGTTTAATCGTCAGATACAAAAATATACATTGTTTTGAATTTTGCCACAAGCGAAAATATTGTTTTTAAAATATTGTTTAATAATAACATGCGATATATATTCGCAAAAGTATGACTAGTGGTGCAACCTTTCGGACGAATAAGGGAAAGTTTCTATCGCTCGAGGCCTTCCGAGTTTACACGATCGTGAACGAGACTTGTCGAGTATAGCCGAATTTTCTCGCCGTGGTATTAGCCACAACAAAAAATTAGTACCACTCGGTAAAAACTTTTCGCTAATATATATTTCCGCGAGCGCGTTTCCTGTTTGGGCTTTTGCTACGTAGTACGCGGAGTATTGTCAACGAACAGGTAAGGAATTTAATATTTTTACTGAATTTTTTGTGGACTTGCGCGAAATCGTACGAAACCGCTTATCACGGGGTCCACTCTCTCTGACGGGACGGACAGACGCACGCGTATTGTTGTGATGAAACGCGGATAATGCATTATAGCATCCATTGTCCTATCCTGATAAAGGACTGATTACGGATGCCAGGATATTCCCAACGGATACTTTAATTCCTTTTTGATTATTTAACCAGACGTTGGGTTGTTGGATTCATGGAAATGCGAAAAGGTTAACCTAAAAACGGATCTTGGGCGCGAAGTTATTTGTTTCTATGTTATTCGGGGTATTTCATTTTTACCCCTCTTACAAATAAGTTTACTATATGTTTGAATATCGCTTATTTGACTGTATTAACTTCGACTCTTATTGACTACGCTTTGTTTATCATTGTTAAATTATAGTACTACTTTCTTTGTTGCAAAGTATTATATTTTTTGTGTTGCAGATTGTTCTTGCATATCTTATTTTGAGACGACTAACGGCATTAATAATGGCTGGCGAGCAGCAACAGTTTTTTCTTAAATGGAATGATTTCCAATCTAATATGGTATCGTCGTTTAAACACTTGCGGGATGAGAAAAGTTTTACAGATGTTACACTAGCTTGCGACGGTCAAACATGCAAAGCTCACAAAATGGTTCTCTCAGCTTGCAGTCCTTACTTCAAATCTTTATTAGAGGTTTGTGTGCTTTCTTAAAACAAATTATTCTTAAAGATGAACGATAAGAATTTATTTAACGTGAAAGGAATATTATGTTACAGGAAAATCCGTCCAAACATCCTATCATTATTTTGAAGGACGTAGCCTACAGTCATCTTCAAGCTATTCTTGAGTTTATGTATGCAGGAGAAGTAAACGTTTCACAGGATCAACTACCAGCATTTTTGAAAACTGCTGACCGACTCAAAGTTAAAGGCCTGGCTGAGGCTCCTGGTGCCATTAAGAGGGAGGGATAAGTCTACGCACCTTTAGTTATGGTGAGTTTCACTTTTTCTTTTTTATTTATTAACTTTATGAACAACATATGATACTGTCAACCATATAGATATTTATGACTATTCTCGATATTTCGAGATCTAGCATCTTCGTCATTTGCACATAGCAAATTATCCTTTTTACAGGTGTTTTGGGAAGCGTGCAGACTGAAAACAATTGTAATGTTGTAAAGTGATTACGTAGACACATAACGCCACACAATATACAAAAACACATACAGACACACATAAGAAATAAAAAACGTGTACAATAACACAAGACTATACGTGCACAGTGTCCTCCGGTTCATGACTAGGATCAACACAAACAGTTATGTAAATTACGACATTTTTCTTAATTACAATTAACGTGGACGTTGTATTGAATCATATACAAGTACAGTAGAGACTAAATGTTGATGTTTGTCTTGAACCCAATACGCCACTATACTACAACCGACACTGATTATTTTTTTAAAAATGGAGTGCTGCAGTGTTACGAACGAATAAGTGGGTCACGAATAGTTTAATATACACACACTGACCGGGGCTATTTTGTAGATCGATTGGAAATACCATCAACTTATTCATTATTTTGTCTAAAATTCGAGAAAAAAAAACGTTCACCATCAATTTCTGTTCCACAGTCAGTTGAGCCATGAAACCACTAAACGAGGCCGACTGATCTCATTCGTTCGAAACCTAACCTAACAATATACAGTTATAATTTTTCAAAATATTCTCTAATTTTTTATATATAAAAAAAACAGACGCTTCAATAGATTTTACAAAATTCACACGTCACAGACTAATCGTCTTATCATGATGGATCGTACGATGAGTGACAGATTGTGCCTCGTGACGTCATTAGATTTGCAAAAATCCCCGGCCATCAGATCGAAGAGCGTGGAATTGCGTTTTCTTAAATTTTGACAAGCATAACGCTACGTCAAACTGCCACGGTAACGATCATTATTGCCTACCAATTAGTTGCGCAATTTTCATTGTCCTAATAATGAATTAAAAAAAAAAAAGAAAAAGACAAAGTGTGGCGAGTCGAGACAAACACTGACAATTTAACATACACGGCAATATGGCATCGCGTTTATTTCCACTTGAGCGATCGCAATTCCACTGAACCAAATACTGCCAGTATTTGTACATACAGGCGTATTCACATTATTACCGATAGACCAAACTTATTTATGATAATAATATATTGAGGGTGGGCTCGTCCCGGGCCGAGGGATGAATTATTGTAACATAAAAGTAAAAAGAAAAAAAAAAAAAGAAAGGACAATTTTTGTAAGGCCGGAGCGCACAGTTCCTTTTTTTAAACTCCTCTCGAAACGGCATACGGCCGCCCTCACATTTATTAGGGAGTTCTTAATGGCGGCGACGAGAGTCAGGAAACAATTGTGACGTGATAAGAAGACACGAGGGAACTCCGTGCGACATTGAACGGTTACAATTAATAAGTATTTTATGTAACATTTTTCTTTTTTAATTACTTTTCTTCCTACCCACTCCTCTTTCTTGTTCCTCTCTCCGCGAATGATCACTTTGAAATTCAAAATGATCGTTGGCCATCTTGAGTAGGCTGACATACAGCACCGATCTATATACAGGGTATTGAGACTTCAATTTTCATCCTGCAGTGCGATTCCAATTTTACTTTACACTGCTGTATATACATATATATACACACGCGCGCGCGCACACACCCATAAGCCACTGCCTAATGGAAAACGAGTTATCAATTAGTATAGTCCGATTAATCCTGGTGATTCCTCTAACGTCTTCTCGATTGTCACGCGTCCGCCATATTGTACCGTCGTAAATGTCGCGAGTCTTTCCTGACTTTGTTCATGGTCAAAGAAAAAGAAAGAAAAAGAAAGAAAATCAAGAAAACATCTCTGCGTCATTAGCTAATACTTATCTTATTAGGCATTTGAATAATAAGCGAATCAATAAGCGTCTAAATGACGACATCTTCGTAAGGGGCCGTTAAATTTTGAAATGACGACAGAGCCTGCGCGTCGGTCAACTGCGCAGCACATGAAAAAATATCCACGAGACGCCACTCGGCGGAGGAAAGTGAAGCTCTGCAAGAAGATGGACACGCAAGACTAAACCGAAAGTGGATGCAACAAGACCAAAGGTTACATCGAAGAATACGTCGCGACGTTACGAATGATTTGAAGAAGAGGAAGTAAGACGAAAATTGTATCTCGCGAGGATCAATGGAATTTCCAGGCATGACGCAACCCTCGAAGGATATCGGTCTATCGCGCAAGGAAGAAAAGTAGAAAGAAATAAAGGGTCATAGGAATTTCACCGCATCACTGCAAATTTAACGATTGATAACACACTGGAAAATAGTTATATATTATATTAAAAATATAGATAGGTATATATATGTATTAAGGTATATATATATAAATATATATATATATATAACCTCTGTATTTAAGAAAGAAAAAAAACTGGTACGTTAAGACGGTTGGGTTCAGTTCCTACAAACGACACATACATCGGGCATTTGGTGGTTTTTTTTTTTCCGATTGCGAATTTTTACACCGTGTACATTTTTTGCTCTAAGCTCCTGTAAAGTGTAGGGAATGTATAGAGGGATACGTTCCGCTTACGGTATATTGCATATTTTTTTTTCTTCTCTTGTCTCCCCAGTCATCCTTTTCCTTTAGTCTAATTATGCCTACCAGCATTATCTTTACACAGTGACTATGAGTAGCCTAATGCTTTTCTGAATAATCCCCTATTCTCGCGTGACGTCACTCAATACGCGTATCGCGAAGAATTTTTGTAGTTTGTCGTTTCTTTTTTTTTCCTTCAATTTTGTAAATTTTATCGGGGAACCCCCCTAACACTTCTTCTTTTGGTACAGTTAAAAAATGATTTTTTTGTCTCGAAATATCGAGCTCGCACGACCCTTCGACGGACGATTCAAATTTGACAGAAAGGCTCGTATCACGATATGATCTTCCCTGAGGAGTTTGGAAATTAATTTCTTTTTTGTATGATGGCTATTTGTGTGTTGTTTCCTTCCTTTGCATTACTTTTGACTTATTTTTTTTTTTTTTAATCTGTGTAATACGTCGCTGTTCGTAATACATATATTACTAGCCTTTTAGGTTCGATCGATCGATCGATTATTACCATTGATACCGGAAACCCCACCCCCCCCAACCAACCAACCAAAACTCATTCCTTCCTCCTTAGAGTTACATATTTTTTTTTCTCTCTATTGTCACGACTCGATGACTATGATATGATGTTGAGATATAAAATAAATTGTGTAAATATAATAATATTGGGATTCTCCCTGTACCTTTTCACTGGTTTAATCGTCCCTTTTTTAGTCTAAGTATATTATAACTGCGATTTCAGGATTGTTTATAATTATTTAATTTTTAGATCATAGTCATTCTTTTCTTTTTCCATAGTCCTCGCCTATGCACGTACAGTGATCTTAGGTGGTTATCGACAAGGCAATTAATCGGTCACCTTAAGGGTGACAAAGGCAGTGGAGAACTTCGTACCAGTATGGTATCGAAGAATTCTTATAAAAGTTACGATCATCTTATAACTAAGATACGTAATAAAAAATGGTAAAAAAATGAAGTGTAAAGGCATAAAATTTGCGAACGAACGAACTATTGCGAACTATTGCGAATATTGCGAACAGCAGTCGGAAGTCAAGTAAGTAAATTAAAAGGTAATGTACACAATCGGCAATCAGTTGTTCTTGTATGGAAGGTTGTCCAATGGATACGGTGGAATCAATGGCTGCTTCACATCAGCATCAGAATTTGATTCTTGTTTCTGATCCACCGGATGAGACTCCCTGCTGCAATCCTCGTACGAAGGTGGTGCTGAAATGATTGATATGTTGGATGCATATTGATATGCATTGATATGTGACGTATGCATTCTTATTATTATTATCGCATATATAACACATATCTATGCATGAGGAAGGCGAACGTTCAGCAGTTAAAAATGGGACTCACGGAGTTCTGGTGGAACAACAAAACCAATTGGTTGAGTGCTGGGCCCTGGCACTGGGACCACAAATGGCATTCCGGTCACTGGCTTTCCTGCTCCTGGTTTATAATTTTCGAATTCAAGCTTATAGTTTTGAGGCATCGGTTGACAATTTATTGGCATCGGTCGATCAACTGGTCCCGGTGGGTATGGCGCAATTGGCACTTTTGGTTCTGGTGGGCATGGCGCAAATGGCACTTCCTGTTCCGGCGGGTATGTCGCAATTGGCACTTCCGGTTCCGGTGGGTATGGCGCGTTTGGTATTTCCGGTTCCGGCGGGCATGGCGCGATTGGCACTTCCGGTCCCGGCGGGCATGGCGCGATTGGCACTTCCGGTCCCGGTGGGTATGGCGCGATTGGCACTTCCGGTCCCGGTGGGCATGGCGCGATTGGTTCTGTGGCTTCAACTGGTACCGATGCTGTTGACCATTTGGACTGAGCAGAGATCAATGGGATCGTTCCAATGAATATTGGATAGTTATTAGATACGTTGTAGTGGCTGTACGAAAAAAAAAGAATTGGACGATCAACTGTTGACTTATCGTGAAAAATTATTCGGCTAAATTATTTTCTTTTTACAATGTAACGACTCCTCACTTACCAACCGGAAATGACGTATTTTACATTGATGTCGTAGTCAATGTCGATCAGTTTGCAGCAGGGGAAGTAAGATACTGGTACCGATCGTACCAAGATACTCGCGTCATATTCACCACTTTGACCAAATGGTCCATACAGCGTCTTATTCCCCAGAATGTTTTTCTCTATTTTTTTTTGGCTCCCGCTTGGTACTTTAAACGTTATCGTCTGCACGTATACATATATATGGGTATTTTGATTGAAAAAAATGGCGTTCATCATGAATTATATTAAAAACTGTATTTAGCAAAGTTACCATTCACCTGTATAAAATTCAATTTGATTTCATCAATTTCCACCTCCGATTTGTTATCGAAGCACACTTTGGCTTCGATATTTTGTCCAGCAACGTATCCCCTCACTGGCAACGTTAGTAGCATGTCTATTTCTCCCACTGAGCAGCAAAAGATGTTGGAGAAGGGGATAGTGCGCTCGTCGTGTATTTCTCTCTGTTTCAAATTTTCCGCCAAACGTTCAAAAATATTAAACAACTCTCACTAAAACTTACCCTTGCCTCGGGCACATTGTTCAAATCCAAATTCGATACCACGGTAAATCTTTTGGTTACTGTGGGATCAATGCTCAATGGGAGATCCATGGCTGCTTTCAAAGTGTATATCACGCTTCCGTACTTATGCTCGAAACTGACAGGAATTGTTTCCGGCAGTTGAAAACTGAACGGATAGGACTGCTCGCCAGCAGGCAACTTCATGTAGGAACCTTAAAAAAAAAATTAATAAGACGCCACTCATATCTTAAGGCGGAGTATCTGGAAATCGGGCAAAGGCCAGCTGAGGATTTTCATGCAGTCGGGAAAGTTCAAAATATTAATATAAATTTTATAACGTCAATTCTCACGTGGACCAGACGGTACTCCGTCGATGCACATGATTTATCTCAGTGTCTTCTTATCGATCCAATAATCGTCACGACTCACCGTCTGCACAGCCAATCAAATATTCCGTCAAATCTATGTAGCGCTCAGACCCACTGACAATTTTGCTGGATGCCTTACTTCCGTTCCGACGCCATTGAACATGGCATTTACCTTTTATCTTTATCTTTAGACCTAAATTTCGAGGGTAATGTAATTATTATATCACGTACGTATATATATATATTTTTTTTGTGGCGTGATTTTTCGACTCACAGTCACATGGCGACTCCTGCTATCGATTCAGATAACGTTCAAGCTTTCTGGGTCCCTTCGAGTCGGCAACCTCATCAGAAGCTACGCTCTCGGACTGATTCGTACAGTTACGTGAATGATCTTGGAAAGATTTTTTACTGCTGGTTGGAGATCGAGGTGCTCGAATCTGCCATGGGGAGGTAGTCTCGACGTACCGAGTTACCCGGCAGAGGAGAGGACCCGAGGGAGACGTCTCTACGTTACCGGCAGAGGTCCGGCTCAGGTACCGGCGCCCCGCTGGAGATGGGCATAGGGCGGATATAGAGTTTTGGTTAGGTTAAGTGCAGGGGAGGAATGGAGGAAGCCCCTGACCCAGGTTCAGGATTTGGAGCTCAGCTGTAGCTCGGGGTCCTGGGGAAGCGGCTGTGGAGGATCTCCAAGAGTTACGTACCGATTCGCTAAGACATCATCTCGATTTGGTTTAAAGGGACGAATCGAGGGAAAGGATAAGAGTTATCGGCTATAAGGATCTCGACCAATCGGAATTGTTAGTTCTCGAATCTGACTGTTGTCAATGTCAGTCTGTCTTGGGACACCGATCGGTGTGCCTCGCGCTCCCGGGCTGTTTGTTTATCATTTTCCTACCTGTGTTTTCTGTTCGGTATAGAAAGTTCTCGCGTTGCTCTCGCTATATGAAAATCTATGGGATTTTCTGCGTCTGTTTCGGAGGTGCAGTGTTGTGCTATAGTGCAGTGCCCACCTGAGGTGTCACCTGGATGCAGTTCTCGGCCTCCACGGATCAGCTGACCCAGCTCCGGTGAGTTCTCCCAATTTTTCAATTAGTGGAGGGATTTCGATTTTACAGCTCCGGTTCGTTCTGGTACGTTCTCGAACAATTGCTCTCTGTTTTTGGTACATTACGCTTACTCCGATTATCTCTACTTCGACCTAGCAGCCTGAGCGACCGTGCGTTTCCGTAACCGTTCGCTCCCGTTCTTGCATCCGGTTGCATTTGCCGATTTTACGCGAAACCGATGATCAGCACAAGAACTGGCTGGCATGCGGATTCATGGGCCAAGAGGAGACGTAGGTTAATTCTCGATTTTACGTTATAGGTGTCGAGTTGAGAAAATGCAGTACAATTTATATATACAGGGTGTCCCATCTTAAAGTACGCATTAAGTTTTCAGTCCAGCTTGATGGTTCGATTCAAAAATGTATCCTACAAAAGTTGCATGAATCAGACAGGGACACATGAATAAATTATTTTATCTGGTTCAGCATCATAAGTGATGATAAACCAGGTTTTTAAAATGGAATCGTACATTTTTGTTTTTACTAAAAAAATCTTTGGTAAAAAATGTACAACTTACACATGAAACGTTTTTTGATAAACTTAACAGTTAATGAGATAATCAGCTGACTGGTGATTCAATTATTTAGTTACTGTACAAGGAATTTGATACAACTATCCAAGGACAGACCAGGATATCATCGACAATGTTAAATAGAAACTGCGCCTATAAGACCATGTGTTCCAAAAGCACACAAGTGATGCCTATTGCAGTGGCAACGTATAATAAAATAGCAAAGACAGTTAATATCTTCTTAGCAAAGCATCTAAGATTATACTTTTACGGATACTGGAGAGTAACCCTGGTTCTTTATTTACATCTTATCTATACACCGGAAGGAAGTTACAGAGTACATTTTTAATTGAAAAAAGGACGTTCCACTTTAACATATATGTAAGTTTAGGATCAGATAATCAAAAACGGCTAGGAGTTTCGAATGAAGTCAATGCTAATTATTTTGCCTAAAAAATAATGTACATATACCTAAAAAGAAAAGTGTGTGTCGCGCAGTCGAGCGTCACTTATTTCAAATTTCCCACGCGACCTAACCCCGCCATTGTCAAGTCTACCGTTTGGATCTTATCGGAAAAGAACATTGGGCAGCTTTACAGCGAATATCGAGGCGCGCGACTTCAGGAACAGGGATAAGGGATGAGAGTCCTCTCCTCTTAAAATAAGTAACGTTTGTCTCTATACTCGTGAAATAAACACAGTCGATAATGCAGAAACGCACGCAGCACGTGGCGTGGCGCTTTTTTTTCATGAGGTCGTTCAAATAAGCGCCGCCAGCTGGCAAGTTGGGCAACTTGTAGATGTAGCCACTTTTTATAGCGGAAGTCAAAGTAGGTTCAGATATTCCGCTTGAATCCCAATTTATATTGGTTGGTTTTAATGGCATGCGTTACGTAAGTGAAGAGCTTCGATCCGTATTGATTTGCATAATAAAAAAATATTCATAAGGAGATTCCGATCAGGGATATATTGGATCGTTACATGAGATTTCAAATTACTTAATAATGAAAATTAAATATAAAATATGCAGCACTGTCATTACTAATTTGATTATACTCATTTCAAGTTTATTTTCTTAATTGCACTTCATCTAGCATAATGTCAAAAATTGGATATATTCCATCCGTTTAAATCAAAATACGATGGTCGCGGCCCAACTACAATGGGTACTTATTTTACTGTACTCTATTAATGAAAACTATGAGCCGCCTGGCACTCCCATTGTCCAATTTCTCTAGAATGCTTAATTTATTTACCTCTGGCCGGTTTAGGGTTTTCTAAACACGTCAACACTTGTCCATTGATTATTTCGCCTGGTTCGTAGATGCAACTTTTCTTATCGAGCTGGATATCAAATTTATCAATACTCATTGTTGCTATGTGATCTTGATTTCTTTCGTGTTCAGTATTTGGCAGAAATAATCACAGCGCAGATACCGGTGACGTCTGCTACCGTGCCGGTTTCTTGTGTGAAACTAACACGACGTGCTGAATGTTAGCGCCACTGCGGCTTTATGCTGAACTAAGGAGCAGCTCCTTTTTAGTATCAGCAGAGAAAGATCATTTTTCAGCGCTCGCGTCCGTAATCGGGCGAACATCGTGCAGAGTCGGGTAAATGTGTAAAGCCATTGATTCCCGCTCCTGTGCTGCAATGACGCTAGGTTTGTTCGTTTTCTATCTAGTGCACCGAAATAGCAGTTATTGCAGCGCAGTAGAGAAGTCTTTTGTCATTGCAACGCGGCAGCAGCAGCGCCGGAGAGGAGCAATGTAGGAGAAGGAGAGTGTAAGAGGGGAGAATAAGAAGGCCCGCTACGACCGCTCGCGCAGAAAAATTGTTAACATAACTCGAGCGAAACTCTCGCTTGTTTTTTGTCTCTGAAAACAAGCGAGGTTCGCTCAAGATACATAAATAACTATTTATAAGATGATGATTTTTACATAAATTTTTTCTCGGCACGAATTTCTCGAGACGGTGAAACGGTGAATTTTGATTTACACTGATAATTGATATTTATTACTCAGACTGACGGTACCAGTGGCTTGGAATCTTTGTTACTACACTTAGCGCTATTTAATTGTAAAGAAATTTAACTTTATATACATACGTGAAACAACGTATGCTTACAGATACATAATGTTTCAAGTACATTCATACCGAGATGACGTAAAAATGCGGCTGCCGAAATGTCTAAAAAACGAGTGGAATGTCAAGTAATTTAATTAAATTTAATTTATGTTATCCGTAATTAGTCGCTCTTGCGTGAATTCTTGTGTACTGGATCTTGCGGAACGGATGACTGTATCACATTAGGACCAGAATTTGCCCACATGCTGCTTATCGGTCTCATGATTATCGATGAAAGGTAGATAAGTACTGTGTAAATCCAAAAACGGTCACGATGCTTTTCTCACGGCATCACAGGTCCCTCTCGATCCTCTTGGCAGTCCCACGAGAATCGCCGGTGTCTGTCGATAAAACAGAAATCTTCATGCCTCGTATGGTATTATCGACGTACGGTAAATAAGCGAGAGGCAGCACCAGTCTGTGTCAATCTGTCTGATCGATACTGTCGTATCTACCGGGAGATGGTCCCAATTTTGTGAAAGCGCATCCAGGCGCTCGCATTCGCGTAAATCCATTTCTACTGCGCAGCTTCCGCCGCCTCCTGCGCAGTAACACGTCAGAAGCTTCTGACAATATCAAATCTATAAGTACCTACATAATTATCAACCCTATCTAAATTTATTTCTATGCACATCAAACTCATACACGTAACCAGAATGAATTTTTCCCAACAAACACTTGCACGAATATCTCTCAACGGCGGTTAGAAAAATAAGTAAAGCACAAGATCAAGAAACAAAATTTTTATTTCGTCAATATATATATTTTTACCTGTTTCACATTTTTTCTTTATCACTTTACACCGCCATCAAATTCACAGATACGTCTTGATATATGTTCAAATAAACAATGGCGAACTCTATTTCATTATTCCAAGTAGAGTTTCAGTAGTCCATATATTGATTTCGGTATACATTATTTATTATGTTCCACGTGATTCAATTCGACCAATGTCAATATATGCATGATGGATAGATCTAAATACGTACTGTATACCATAAAGGATACTCTACCTGTTGGACGTAACACGCTGTTGACATTAACGCAAGCGCAAGGAACCTTCTGCGTCTGGCGAGGTCCTGGCAGTTACTACTGACTACAGAGGGGGGTCCTTATCAACCGATTATACAAATAAGTCTGTATACACAAGACCCGTTTCTCCTAAACTAATATTTATTATAATTCTATATACACCCATACAGTATACCATTATCACAAAGAGTGACTAGATTACTGAAAAGTATGGAACGCTGAAATTTTATAAAATCGATAAAGATACCATGGCGAACGCATCCCGCGAGTCTACAGTTACCCATCCGCAATCCGTGTTATCGCGATTCCCGTTATCCGAATAAGGTTAAGATAAAAATGACGATATTCAAGAGAACATGAAAAATTGTATCCGATCAATGGCCACGGATTACGCGTTATCGTAATTTTAATTTCCGTATCCCCCTATGGGATTTGCCTTTTATATAAGGACATTATTTTCCACCCTTTCACTAAGGGCGAGGACGACCCCTTTGTACCCCAAGCAATTAAGGTGCGCGAGCAGCTGCGTACAGGTGGCGACTCTGTGCTGCTATTATTTTCATTATTTTATGCCTTTCGTATACGTTACGACCTAACCCCCTACTGCCGGGGAAAGAATCCTTAGAGTATGCGTGGCTTCGGAAGACCGGCGAAACGCGCCGTTCGCCTGGCAGCCCCGGGACCAATCGGAGGACTCGCCGAGTACCAGGGTGGTTTACACCCTCAGTAACGCGCCGACCGCCGTCAGAGTCAGAAGTCAGTGAATTTTCGTTGTCGCGTTTTAATGTAAATTGAAGGAAAGAACAACAAAAAAAATATATATATATTTTTATCAAACGAATAAAAAATTTTTCACAATTCGAAGCGAGCGTGAAAAAATTTTTAGTGCCATCGACAATTACTCGACGGGTGACCCATCTGTTGATTATTTTTTTTCAATGACTAAAAGATCAACAGGTTAACGCGGTGAAAACTCGCCCTGTTGTCTCAAACGTTTCTCTCTCGCATGTATTTTGTAACATAGCAGTGAGAGGTATGAGAATTAAAAAAAAAATTAAATTAATTACGTAAAGTACAAGCGTCTATTTATTTGCTTGTTAATTAACGGAATCTGAATTTCGACGAAGCCGAGTGCGTCGCGACGCCTTTTACCCGGGTCGAACATTGGCTGGTCTTCTGTTTGTTTATTATTCTATAATTGTTCGTTCGGGAGTTCAATCAATTATCGAAGGGCGCTTATCGGTTTACTTAACCTCTATAGGTATAGGGCTTACGCGGATGAGAAATTGTATTTATTTAATGACAAAGTCAACGGCCAAGTCGTACTAAACGTTTTCGCGTGGAGTGTCGCGCGGTGGATATTAAAATTCACTTGGGGACTCCGATTAATTCCGTAATGTAAACTGGACCGATTAACATTGCTAATCCTTTAAAAGGGACCGTAACGTTGAGAATTTGGATAGGAGTGACAATGGGTGACGGTAGCTTAATAAAGATGCCTTTTATTTATGACACCGACTGACTGCACGAGATCATCCTTGGGTGGGACATGAGGTGGGTGGCGGGCAGTGGGGGAGGGGGAGGAATAATGAGGATAATAAAGAAATTTTGAAATAATAAAATTGATCAAATTCAAATTTTACATGGCGTGACGTAACGTCGTGGAAGATAAGAAGTGACAATAGAAGGGAAAAAGTGAATTTTCAAAAATGGCTGTAAACAGTCCAGGACCTTATACCAAGTCACCGAAGAGTCCCAGACAGCTGCCCCAGCTTCCAATATCAAATCAAAGAAGTCCCACCCAATTCAACAAGTCCCCGAGTACCCCGAGAGTCTTCGAATTTCCATCCGAGTACTATCCCGAGACGCCAAATACTAATTTTGACTTCGAAGATTTCGGGAGGGTCGACCGAAGTCCAAGTTACTTGGGTACGTCTGGCCCGAAGAGTCCCAAGAGCCCGAACGATTATAACTCGCCGGGCCAGAAGAAGGATTCGGTTTTTCAATTTTGCAAACCCCACAAGACTTTTGGCAAGACTCTGAGCTACCCGCCCAAGAGTCCCATTTCGCCATGCGTGACCAGCAGGTCCCCGAGCTCTTTGAGCTTCGGTCAAAAAAGTCCGAAACACTTTGACCGCAGACGCAACTCCTGCTTCAATTTCGGACTGAAAAGTCCCATGTCGCCTACCATTGTCACCTCGAGCAGTGGACGCAGCCCGACCGGTCCCAAGTATCCGGAAGTCGACAAGAAGAAGGCCCAAGACACCGGGTCCAAGTATCACAACAATGGACCGCCGAAAAGTTGCCGGGTCGATATGGACGATAACGAGAGTCCCAAGGTCACGAAGATTGGCGGAGCCTTCAACAGGAGCCAAGGATGCTTGAACGATAAGGTCAAACCGGAAAGGACCAAAGCTACCAGAAATATATCTCGACGGTCCACGAGCGACCTCACGGACTTGGGGGATGCTGAGACTGAGATTACGATACTTTCCAGTCCGCGTAGAAGAGGCTCCATGAAGGGAGGACTGGGTGAGACTTTTTTTTTTACAGAAATTCTAACCTAACGTCAACATTTTGATATCGATTACCAACCTCCTGTAACTTGGCACGGGGCACCAGCCGTAACGTTATATTCACATTTTATATTCAGCGTGCGCCTGTATGTTGTTATCTGATAATCCACGGATATGTTGATCGATAAAATTTTTATATCACCGCAAATCATTGATTATTGATAATCTTCGAAATTTTATTTTTATATTTTCAATGATATTTAAGTTTTAGTAAATTTTATTAATTAGGGGATTTTCTTCTTTGTCAGCTATCTTGTGTCGTGTATTTTTGTTTGGTTCGTGCTTACATTGTTTTGGCGGGACAATGGACGTCATGCTGGAATCTTGTATTGTTTAGCGAAACCTCCAATTTTCATGTCGGAGCAGTCTGGTCTTTTCATTAAATATGGCGATTAAATGACTCATTGTTTCGCGTATCGGACGTCAACGCCAGAAGGTTTATACCTGTAATCGTTCGAAAGGCATTATCGGGACCCTAGTTATTTGCTTGTAAAATTGAAATTTCAATGTCAGCGTTTTATACCTAATTCGCAATTTTTTTTTTTAAATATATAATTTCGTAAGTTTATCACGCGACAACCCCAGCGTCGTGACATGCTCGATTCTTTATCGAACGCCATATTTCGTATTTGCTTATTTCAAGATTTTGAGAATGATAGAAAAAAAAAACAGTTATTTTATTGAAATTAAAAATTTTTTATTCCATTCGTTAATTTGCAGCCTACCTAGCCTCCAGACGTGGATCCAGGGACAGCCAGGTATCAAACGTCTCGAATTTAAGTAATGAGGATGTGGGCCCTCTGAACTTCAATGCTCATCCTCGTGGACGTCAGCGAAGGACTTCCAATTTTCTCGAGCTACCCGGTAAGTTCCATTTGTCTTGTACGTAGAAAAATCGGTATCGCAATCAATGTATAATGCGATAATCGATATTAATCGGTATAAGAGATTTTTTGTGGGACGGTGGTGGGGGGGATATGATTTCCACCAATTTTACGTAATTTCGTCGATCATCCCTTTTCTAATCTAAACTAGATATAAGTAATTCATAAATCGTCTCGAGTACAGTTATACCGTATACCATCCCCAGGGAAATAGTAGCTTTTGGAAATACGTGAGCAGATAACGTTTTTGGACCATCGCACGTGTAAGAGAAGACGAATGAGAGCCGATGGCAGGAAAAAGACGAAAGAATAATCATGATGTATAAGAAGAGTTTATTTTTCAACTTTATACCGTGTGTATAATATATTTATCGAAAGGTTAATTTTATTCTAAGGGCGGGGTAACTCTTGCGCGAAAGGGGAACATTGAGCCTCGACGAATGCAAGATGTTTCGTGAAATAATCCATCGACCTCTGTCGAGCGGGTATCTTAATTCCGGCATTTTCTCGCTACCTCCCCTCGACCTCCGATAACCGAGGATCCTTTCATCCTCCCCGAGTAGAGACAAATTCAAATTCAAAGTTCCGTCCTTGTTCTCGAAGGGAATTAACGTTGGAATTGAGAAAATCCCAGAAACACTTCAACCCCTAAAATCGATTCGAACGTCTCCCGTCAGGCGGAAGATTCAAATAGCGTCATGGGGGTTTTCAAGCTTAAAAGTCACAAGCGTGACGTAATAAACGTTTCGGTAACTCGTCAAGTAGAGAGAAAGAGATTTTTTTTTTCAATTTTTTTTTTTTGCAAAATTAAAAATATTCCATGTGGGATATCAAAAATCATCCCCTGTCGGTCGTACCTCGCCCGCAGTTAGATTAGCTATATTTACTGATTTGTTTCAAAAAAAATTCATGACTCCAATTTTCCCTTTTTCTGAAGAGGCATCCTCACCCTTCACCCCCTGCGACCCCCCATCCACCCCACGCTAAATAGAATCTCTCGTTAAGAAACTCTTTTCGTCCCCTGCCACTTCTTAGTTTTCCTTCGCATTCGACCTGCCGGGGTTCTGGCGCAATTTTTTTCACACACACTTTTTTTCTTCTTTTTTTTTCTTCTGTCCATTACAAAATCCTCGACCACTCCTTTTCCACGGAAGATTGATGAACCGGACTAATTTCCAATTCCAACGAGAATCGGGCCTATCGGTCTTTTTCTATGGTACATTTACGTACATATAGTCCGCCATTAACGTACCGTTTCGTAATCCTTCAGCCTCCATCCTCCAGGTCAATAGTTGACCCGAGCGACGTTACATTATTTATTTTCACGATCGAGTCACGTTTTGCGTAAAATATTTTTCCTCCCTTACTAAACATCCAACCCGGTAGTCAAAGCGCCGGTGAATAATCGACAAGGGTGTATATCTGGTCGTGAATCGGTAAAACGGTACGTCCGTCTCTCTTTAACGCACCCGATCGCCAATAAGTATGTCTCTCTCGCACTCGCGGTCGGGCATAGAAAATTCGATAATTGAAAAAAGTTTTTGTTTTTCCGCTGTTACCTCGCGAACATTTCGATCAACGATCGACCGATACTGATAAGCGTATATATACGCTCTCGAATAATTTGTAAAGTTTGAAAAACCCAACTGTCAGATTTTGTCAATAACATTTTTGACAGCTCTCGCACGTGACAGCTGTCAAAGTTGACATATACCAAAGAACATATATAATGATACTTTCTTAACCTAACATAACCTAACCTACTACGTACTTGAATTAAAAAAAGAAAAAATTGTCAGGCTGAAAACCATGGGATTTACCACAGATGTACCAGCGACTATACTCTTTGAAATTCTGAAAAGCGTCGCGGTCTATCGTATGCCATAATAGCAGGAAAGCCATTAGACAGTACCCCGCTAGCTATAGATATACGGCATATAAGTATGCAATTGTGCTTTACGGGGTACAGACTGTGCGCGTTGCGGACGGAGAGACAAAGAATAGAGAGGAAAAAAATAAAAGAAAAAAAAGCCCAATTCGAACTACCAAAGTTATTCGTCTGTATGATTCGTACAGTGGCAGTGCCTCTGGTGGCAGAGAATAGAACTAGTAAAAGAACAACGCTTGAAAATGAACAATTTGACGATCCACGTCCAAGGCTGCAGCACACGTTGATCGTGTACGCACCTAATGACCCTGAAGTTAGTAGCACGTTCGATCCTTATGCCAAAAACCATATTCAATCGGTACGTCTGAGCCGAGTAATCGAGTATGCACAGAGGAGTTGAAGAATGCTCGTTTGAAATTCATCCCTTTTTTTTTTACATTTTCTCGACTCACCACCCCCTGTCTATCTACCCTTTCTACCACAAATTCACCCTTAATGCACCGGTAGCAGCCATCGGACGCCCAGTACTCACGATGAATACCAATTGGAAGGATTTGAAGCTATTTGCTTTTCCATACCGTGTATACATATATACCTAGCCATAGACACGTATAGTATATCCATGGAGAATTTCACAAATATATTTCCAGGTAGAAGATGATATACGACGCTGAGATTTTATTTGGTCGTTGCCATGGTTACGTCGTGTCTTCCGTTACTTGGCGTATAATAATAATAACAACGGTAATAATAATCTTGACATACCGAATCAGTCAATTAAGGTATTACTACGGTAAACTCAAAACCGCGTAATCGAGCTGAAATTTGTTTTACGTCCAACTTGTATAGCAGTACATCTCTCTCTATAAATTTTTAACACGATTCACCAATCCATTACCGAGTATTTCCGAGTTAAAGTCAGGACTCGTAACACGTGTTCCCTATACCTGACCGATAAAACGCGCATGGTTTTTTTTTATTGTGTTTGACTCGTCCGCGTAATCCCGATGAAAAGCTAGTATGTGGCAAAGGAAAAATTAGAAATTTTTTAGATTTTCAGTAAGAACTTTTTACTCAGGATTTATTGACAGACATGAAAGAAGTCGATATTTATTACGAAATCTCTCGTACGACGGCTGACAAGAGGGCGTCGGTGTATATACGTATATACTACTAAATCCACTGTGAGACCGTGCTCGATGCATATACCTTTTCGGTCCGCAGTAATACCTTAAATATTTATTTATAACCCGGCAAATGTCATTCTCGCAAAACGTCTAATCGAACGGAGCACACAGAGGGAGACTCTGTCGAAAAGATATTTCGTATCTCAGACAGACGTACGTTACACGCGTACGTCATAGGGGATGAAATCATTGATGAATTTTCACGAAAGAAAAATTTATCTGCGAATCGAGGAAACACGTGGATCCCAGAACCCGAATATACGAATGTTAATCCTTTTCCCTGAAACGGATGATGCCCGACGTCACTGGACTCCTTTGCCAGCTTCCTTGGTCCAGGAGGATTTGCTGCTCGAAGCTTCTCCTATGCGTAAGCTTTGAGATTTATTAGACTATGAATATGTCCCTGGGTTTACGTAAGATCCCATCGGTATACGTACCGGAAGTTCTGTATTTATCTGATCGAAGGTTTTAGAAAGGGGACAGCTTGCTTACGTCATGGATTCCAGTTGTCCCTTGCTGGGAAAAATTTTTTATTATATTTTTTCTTTTTTTTTTTTATACAAATTTCTGGTCCACCAGTCTCGCTGATTTTGGAGCAGACCGTGGCGGTGGTCGTATGAGCGATAGGGACTACGGGGTGATAAGGGTGGGACCGGGGTTGGAGGTCAGGGGTAGCTGATGGGTCATCACTATTCGCTCAAGGGAAGCTGATAATTAATTTTCATAATTTTTTTTTTTATTTATCAACTCAAAATTCACTTGCTCCTTGGATAGATCTTCCGTTGGATGCTGCGTTCTATTATTTGCTCTGATCTTATCACCTGGTCCCGCCTTTGAGATCCTCTCGGACGTCGCGGGCTGCTCGTTCCCCAAATCTCGTGAATCCTGAGATTGACTTTAAGCCTCGTTCCCAAGGGCCGTCCCGGCCCTTTTACCTTGGCACGTGTCACGAATTTCACGAAACTGCTCGTTCGTGCTTTTTTGGTCCGAAAGTTGGCAGGACTGCGATTAACCGCCGAGTCTTTCACATCGCTGAACGTATTTCAACGCCCGTTAATTATCCTGGGATTTATTATACGCGAGCGGTACCTTAACGTTGATGCTTCGGGGGTCTAACCCGTGGACGACTTTTACTGGGGATAACTACTGTCGAGCTGCTTTGCGTGACGCAGGATGGTTTTTTTTTCTTCTTCTTTTTCTTCACCACTCTTGGTATTTTGGGGTGGTAGGAAAGTTTTTTTTTTTTTTTTTTTTTTTTTTTTTTTTTTTTTTTTTTTTTTTTTTTTTTTTTTTTCTGGTAGACGGATATCGTCTACCATTTTTGGGAACACTGTGTATACTTTGGAAACACGCTGATCATACATTTCTTTAGCGATTATTGGGGTTGATGGGAATGTTGGGTGTTTCTTTTTTCTTTTTTCTTAATAAATGTCCTTTTTTCGGGGGGATAATTTTTTATTATTTAAGATTTTACGAGAAACTCGGAGAAGCTTGAGTTAGAGTTTGTCTCAGGTGGTACGTTGATAAAAAATTTGATGTTTTAGGTAAAAAGCTCAAAGGGCTTATATACTAGGATATAAAACTCTATCTTCCCTTTTTTATGTGTATATATATATATATATATATATTTTTGTCTCTCTTTCCTTATTCCAAGGTCTTATCTAGATGTGCCATAGGGGAAAAATAACCCTTGGGTATCAATTCGCGTGTTTATGCCGCGATCCGCTGTAATCTACGATCTCTCCTTGTCTTTGGACTTAAGCGTGTCCAGGTTGACGTTAGGGGGTTTTGAAGCACTCGTAGATTGAAATCAGACGAAAACATTTTTTAAATATTTTTTTGTACAACCTTTTGGTACCATTTTTTATTTATTGCTGTTATCGCGAAAATAGGATCAGATTTACCGGTATGGTTGCATAGTAAAATCTTATTGCTCGGGATACGTTAAAGGTAGATTTGAATTTCCCGCGGAATCACGACCAGCATGGTAAATCAGTCGTTTCCAATGTTCGCTGTAAAATTGAATACCGGAAAGAAATAAAATTCTCATTTAAGAGGAAAGCCGTTATTATTATATCAAGAAGAAAAAAAATTAAAAACAATTGGGCATACCTATCCAATTTATATGACTGGTCGATGTGCGAGGGAAATGTGAAATCGGAAAAAAAAAAGATGACAAAAATGTTTCCCTCTGGAAATAATTGTTTTCTTTTTCCCAAATGTACCAGCACGCTCGAATTTAATTGGCTGCAAACTACGGCACCGTTGATTGTTATCGAATTAAAAGTAGAGAATTGCTCTGTAGTCGGGTCGGGATTCATCTCTTGAAATTGCGACTAGAATTTTTATCAGGGTATGAAAGTTTCTCGTATAGGATATATATACCGGGTGATTCAAAACATACGCATAACCTGAATTTAACTCGCTCATACCATTCCTACGGAAAAACTCACAAAGGAACATCATACTGCAATTTTTTTTTTGTTTTCAGAAACACCCGTTTTACAATTGAATTTGCATTTATTCAATTTACTTACTTTTTTGATTTTCAGTACCGGATCACATCAGGGCAAGAGTTCACAGTTTACCTGAAAAGGCCTATAACCCACGAGCCGGTGACGATCTGTACAGATTGCGGGAATTCAGCATCACACACAAGGGGGTTGTGAATCGCGGTGACTCCATAATATCCAGACGAAGCAGAAGCAATACGTCAGTGAACAGCAGCAGGTAAGTTTTTTCTTTTTGGAATAAAATATATATATATATATATATATATAAATGAAAAAATGATATCAGGTGCAGGAGGGGTTGTACAAATTTTTGTATCATTACCTCAGGCGCTTTTTCTAAAAAAAAAGCCCTGGTCACGTACCTACTCTGCTGGCAGCTCCGGACGTAAGGCCCAGAAATAAGACGAATCTTATTGGCACTGATAGGGGTTGCATATTTTCCAATTCGAAAGTCCTTTCGCCAAGGGGACGTAGGATCGTCGGGTTTCGGTACGCGATGCATTGTTTATGTTGACCCTTGGGAAAAAGAAAGAAAATGTTCGGCAAATAGCCGAGGGTGGATCCGCACGGTAAGCCGTGAGTGAAATATCATCCCCAATTTTAAGGGATGATGGGAGGGTACTTCCCGGCTTCGCTCGATAATAACTTAATCATTTTGTCATCAGTCTCGGGAAGAACTGGCCGCCAGAACGAGGCGCAACGAATCGCTACTTTTTAGATATTTTATTAGGGAGGCTGCGTCGCGGGACGGACTTGATAATTGTCTGGCTAGCAGAGGATGAAGTAATTACGACGATCCCGGTTCTACGACCTCCTCGAGTGGTCGTTGTGACGGTACGAGCGGCTAATGATTTGCGGTAACGCGGTTAGTTAATTTTAATGCCGTTATCCTTAATTGAAGGGTGGTTTAAACCACCCCTCTTCGAGTTTAGATTGATACAGCGGGTATGGTGGCGTCGAATGGAGTGGAAATAGGGGTTGTAAGATACAAGGGGAGACGAAACGGATAGAGTAGTGAGGGTTTTACAGGGGGTTGGAGGGAGCGAGGGGGAGGGGGG